TCTGGTAACACAGACTGGGCCCTTGTTGAAGTCTCAGGTGTGATAGCTTGCTTAGTCTGGCTGCATGTGACCATTCCCACCTTGGCTAGTTTCACCTGGTTGGCCAAGTCTTCCCCCAGCAGCATGGGAATGGGATAATCATCGTAGACTGCAAAAGTCCACATTCCTGACCAGCCCTTGTACTGGACAGGCAACTTGGCTGTAGGCAAGTTTAAAGAGTTTCACATGAAGGGTTGAATTGTCACTTGGGCCTCTGGGTTGATGAACTTGGGGTCCAATAAGGACTGGTGGATAGCTGTCACTTGTACTCCAGTGTCCCGTCAAGCTGTAACCTTCTTCCCGCCCACACTCACAATTTCCCTTTGTTCTGAGGGTACCTGAGAGGCATCTGGGCCTGAGGACCTTTGGTGTGATTCTGGTGTAATGAACTGCAGTCTGTTGGGGTTCTTGGGGCAGCTGGTCTTCCCATTCCCCAACTCATTACATTTAAAACATCGCCCAGCTGACTGGTCACTAGGGCAAGGTTGGTTGCTGGAGATGGGTGTGGTGGGAAGATAAGGTATTTGGGGTTTTCCTTGGAATGTAGTTGGGGCCTTGGGTTGCCCCCGGTGATAGGGTTTTCTTTCGGGTTGCCCCTTCTGATATTCACTCCAACTGCTATCAGTTGTTGTTTTTTCTGCCACCTCCACCCATTTGGCTCCAATGTCCCCCGCCTCGATTACAGTTTTGGGCTTCCCATCTAGGATGTACCTTTTTATTTCCTCTGGAACACTCTCTAGGAACTGCTCCATTTGCATTAGGAAGGGCAACTCTTCCGGAGATTTAACACTTGCTCCTGATATCCAGGCATCCCAATTTTTCACAATGTGGTAGGCGTGTCAGGTAAATGGCACGTCTGGTTTCCACCTTAGGGCTCTGAACCGCCGACGGGCACGCTCGGGTGTTAGCCCGATTCTAATTCTGGCCTTGTTTTTAAAAAGTTTGTAGCTGTTCATTTGTTTTTTAGGCATTTCAGATGCCACCTCTGCTAAGGGTCCACTGAGCTGAGGCCTCAGCTCTACCATGTACTTGTCTGTAGAGATGCTGTACCCAAGTCAAGTCCTTTTAAAATTTTCTAAGAAGGCCTTGGTATCATCGCCTGCCTTGTAGGTGGGAAATTTTCTGGAGTGGGGAGCACCCGGAGAAGGATTGGTAGGGTTAGCTGGTAGATTCAGCTTAGCCTTTTTCAGATCTAAGCGCTTCAGAGCTAACTCCGCCTCCAAGCGTTGCGCCTCTTTCCTATGTCTGTCATGTTCTTTTTGTTTTTCTTCAGCTTTAAATTTAGCTAATTCTAGTTGCTATTGGATATTGCATTTCGTCATCCTAGCTCCTGCTTACCTAGCTTACCCGGGAGCTAGAAAGAAAACAAAAAAAAACAACAACCCTGCTTGTGAATTTCCTTGCTGCTGTAACTTAACCCCTCTGCCCTGAGGCAGAGGAAAAAAACTCCAGCTGCTCACAGCTAAAAATCCTGCTTCCAAGCAGCCAAAAGAGGGAGGGGGGGGAAATTGTCCTTTTAAAATCCGACTGTGCTTTCGGTTCAAAATGATCTCTGGTTCAAAATAATCCCACGGCTCCCACCATGTCAGGGTTCCCTTATTGGTCCTTTTGGTCAGGTGCCAGCCAGGTTACCTGAGCTTCTTCAACCTTTAGAGGTAAAAGGATATTGTGCGTCTGGCCAGGAGGAATTTTATAGTACTGTATACAGGAAGGTTGTTACCCTTCCCTCTATATTTATGACAGCTGTAGCTTTTTATTTTGATATTTGATATATATATTATAAAAGCATATATATAAAAAAAAACATTAGAGTATGTCAGAAATCAGTGTTCTTAATCCTGCCCCTTTTTTTTCAAGAGAAGAAAAATCAGCCCATGATTTACCAGTTATCTGGAAGTCTGCACTGAAGGAAATTGACATAAACTGGAAAATGTCACTTTCATTGTAAAGATAATTGAAAAAGATGATGGGCTGTTGCAGTTCTTAGGAAAGATATGTAGACTCATGTCTATTTAAATTATAAATCCATACACTGAGCTTGGAAATGTACACAGTCTAAACATTAACTTACCTTGGAATTCATATGTAAGCTTCTGAATTCTTAAATCAGATAAATCATTTTAAGAACATAGCTTTGTCCTCTGTTTCTTTTAATAACAGCACCCATAAAAGTAAAAGTGTTCTGGGAGTGAAATAACAAAACAAAATAAATTCCTACATTAGTTTCTGACTTGTAGGGCAGTCCCGTCTAATGGCAGTGCACAGCCTGAATCACAGGTGATCTGCTAGGGCAGTGGCTTTCCACCTTTCCAGACTACTGTACCCCTTTCAGGAGTCAGATTTCTCTTGTGTACCCCAAGTTTCACCTCACTTAAAAACTACTTGCTTACAAAATCAAACCTAAAAATACAAAATAACAGCACGCTATTACTGAAAAGTTGCTTTCTCATTTTTATCATATAATTATAAAATATATCAATTGGAATATAAATATTGTACTTACATTTCAGTGTATAATATATACAGCAATATAAACAAGTCATTGTCTGTATGAAATTGAGTTTGTACTGACTTCACTAGTGTTTTTATGGAGCCTATTGTAAAACTAGGCAAATATCTAGATGAGTTGATATACTCCCCGGAAAGATGTCTGTGTACCCCTGTTTGCTAGGGTACGTCTGAGAATGGGCAACAGGGAACAGAGAGACTCTAAGGAGGTGCTCAGCAGGCCCCAGCATTGCTCCATGGCAACTCTCTCCATGGGACCATACGGTGGGGGTCTTAGGTAGGCTGTAGGTGCTGCTAGATGCATCATTCAGTTACCTAACTCCTGTTTGGGGCCGCCTGCAAGCCATGAGCTGTAGTTATTATCTGCACTGTGCACACCAGTTGTATTGTGTTCTCTACACACACTGCTCACAGCCCATTTTCTCTGCGTTTGCACAGGTGATGTGAACTGTGAAATATTAGTAGTGTTTTTGCTCTAGGCATTTCTAACGAACACATGATAACAGAATTAATTAACTACACTGTACTTTGTGATTCACTTGTCATGCAGCTAGAAGCCAGCTGTTTATGAAGTCCTGTACCATGTGGAAAGCAAATAAACAAAAAGATTTTGAAAAAAAGACCAAATTAGATATACACAGTACACCATCAGCATTTACTTGAGCTTGTGATGGGGAGTCACAATATACATAGGAGGGTGTAAAACAAAACCGATTCTGGGTGTGGGTGTGAGTGTGCATGCATACACATGCCGCAGCTGATGTTATGTAATAAAGGTTTTATCAGCAAGAGTTTGGTCTGACCGTATTATTCACAAATTGTGTAGCCACAAATGATTTATGCATGTCATCACAAATTTATGCTTATAAAAACTTTTACAGCAAACCACACTATCATGTTTTCTGTATATGCCAAATATAGTGTGCAAAATTTACTGTAGAAATCTTTAAAAGATTTTTTAAAATATATATTAGGACTGGGCTTTTTATTCCTCTGTCAGTAAAGTCAGAACCTCTTTTTACTATGTGTCCAAGTGTATGAGAGTTAGAGGAAAAAAGCCATTGTAAATAACAAAGTAAAACAAGTTTCAGAGTAACAGCCGTGTTAGTCTGTATTCGCAAAAAGAAAAGGAGTACTTGTGGCACCTTAGAGACTAACCAATTTATTTGAGCATGAGCAACATTACCCAAAGTACTATTTTCTGTGCTGTAAATTGTATGTCTAATATCTCAGTACCTCCCAGGCTTAGAAACAAGTGCTATGTGTCCCATTGGCAGCCTTAAAGGAATGCAAGATATTAGACTTTAAATAGGCAGCAGGACTTGAATAATGCCATTTCTGGACCTCAGTCCAGAATAAATTTTGGAGGAAATTTTACAATTTTGGGGAGAAAGAAGGATATTTTTCTCTTGAAGGTTGTTTTTTGTTTTTAATAAATGGATGCTGTTTGAAGCTATTTACAGGTCTGGAATGTTAAAATATGTGTAGGGTGGTGGATCAGCAAGCAGAGTATGTATGAGAGGGTCAAAGGTGTATGATCAATACAATTTATTACATGATGGAGTTACAGTTTATTATGTGGCTAGCACTAATATAAATGCAGTGCTATGAATGCACTGCATTTATATTATGTAGCTATGAATGCATAAATAGTCATTTAAGCTTTTTGTATTATGTATTATAACATTTTAATTGTTGTTAATTTATTTATTGGTATTCATTTTTATTCATGAAAGAACCCACTAGATAAAATGATACAGAGTGACTTCCATGTAATTAGATATAATAGGTTGTGTAAATCACAGAAGTTGCAAACAATATATCTTTCTGCAGACAATATTTAGCTGCATTTTGAAAATACATAGAGGGGAAAACCTGGTTTATACCTATTTATTATGGCAGAAATCCAATATTTATCCTCTGTTAGTCTGCAAAAAAATGGATCATTGGGGTCAGAAAGAACAGCTGTTTTAATTAGAAGATCCTGATATATTATATCCAAGTTTTCATCATCTTGTGCAAGCTCTAGAAATATACCCAAGGGTTCATTTCAATCCACCTGCTTTTTCTGATGCATAAGATTACATAGTCTAGAGAACAAATCTGTTTCAGAATGTTGAGATGCAATCTGTATATGAAGAAGTTTTCTCCTCAGATTGATAATGCTATGGCAGCTGTTATTAATATAACTTTTACAATCTCTGTTACTTTGGTGGTGGTGGTGATTGTTAGGTAGTTATGATAATCAGGAGATTACATCTGTAGAGAAAGCTTGCATTATGTTAAAGTCTCTTATGTCCCCCTGACACACATCTGCAGAATACTGAACAAGGCCAGGAGCATTTGGATATTCCCAGCTCTGGCACAGCAAGCTGAGCAGTATAACATTAGAGTTTTTTTGTGCTCTCTAGGTAGTCTTTTTTTAAGGGAATGGATCCTTTGTGTTTTAACAGATGCAATGCTCTTGGTAGCAGAGAGATTAGAGGGACCATTCAACATTGAATCAGTCATGGATCCTATTGATGTCAAGATTTCTGAAGCCATCATGAACATGCAAGAGAACAGCATGCAGGTGTCAGCAAAGGTACTGTGCAAGTCACTTATTATCCAGTCTTGAATGTTGCAGCCAGGGGGAAAATAGCAACCGCTGACTGCTATCCTCTGTCTATGAAGGTTTGACCATGCTACTCAAAATTATAGTCTCTTGTCTTTGAGAGCACCTGGCCCACTCAACTATCTCACCTTGTTAAAAACTCTATAGATTTCTTTCAAGCAAGGATGGCATTGCAAAAAGTACCATTCAATTAGCTACATATTATTGGCTGCTAAAAGGTTTACGACAGACAAAGAATGTTGAATAGTTGTGGTGTTTAGATGTTGTTTGTAATTATTAGAATTGGGAGCACTGGCTGTTGGGAGTCTGAAAGGACAGGAAATAGGAAGGAGCGGGGAGGAGTTGAAGAGGCTGCGGGAGAGCTACTGAGGGTGCAGCAGCAGCTTGGAAAAGAGGTTTCCAGTTTAAAAAATAAAGTCCTGTTGAAGTTTGTTAGTACCTTGCCTGGCTACTACAACATTTTGGCGACGAGGATGGGATCTTCTGCCTCTGAACCCACCTGCACCCTTTCTACAAAGCCCAGGTGAGCCTCCAATTGCTTTTACTGCCTGGATCCATATGTTTGATACTTATCTGCTTGCAATCAGTGCTGCAGAGATTTCTGAAGTAAGAAAGTGTGCTTTGCTAATCCACTGCCTTGGAGCAGAACGGCAGCATATATTTTACACTTTTCCCATTGCAGACGATAAATATGAGACTGCACTCAATGAATTAAATAACTTTTTTGTACCAAAAGTGAATGTAGTAGCTAATCACTACAGATTTCGCCAGCGTGAGCAGAAACCAGCGGAGACAAAAGTGCAGTATATTGCTTCCCTGAGGAGTCTGATTGTAACTTGTGACTTTGGAAATATGGCAGATGAGATGATTAGAGACCAGCTCATTGAGAAAACAAGCATGCTTCATGTAAGAGAATGTTTACTTCTAGAACCACAACTTACACTAGAAAAAGCAATAACCATTGCAACCCAGATTGAGTCAGCTTCAGCTGAAGCCAAAATAATGAGCATGGATACAGGAGGCACAGTCCAGGGTGTGACTCCTTTGCAGAAAAGTTCACTATCACAGCAGACAAACAATTAGAAGAGGAAAACTAATGAAAAACCACTGAATCAGCAAATTCAAAATATAGTAAAAGAGTGCTTTTGCTGTGGATCCCCATGACACCTTGCAAGCTACACAAGATGTCCAGCAAAAGTAGCTCAGTGCAATCATTGCAAAAAGATTGGGCATTTTGCTAAAGTATGTCGCAGCAACCAGTTCAATCAACAGGTGCATGCAATTACAATACCAGATGTTACTGTGCTGAGCATGGACAAAATCACTACTGCACATATTCCAGAACAAATAAAGTACACAGTAAAAGTTTCCGCCATACCCTCAGGCAAATCACTCTCTTTTCTGCTAATGTTGGACACTGGCTCAGCAGTATCTATACTACCTGATTCCATCTATCTGCATTACTTTAAAGATGGTGCCTCTTACTGAACCCAAGCTTCACTTGCTGTGCTATTTGAAAAACCATATTCCAGTACATGGCTGCCTGCCAGCAATAGTTACTTTTGGTGATTGCTGTGTAATTGCAAAGTTCTACATTGTCCACAAATGCACTCCTATCCTTGGCAGAGATTTATTGGCTGCTTTAAATCTCAGGGTAGTTAATGGACGAATTAATCTTCCTCAGCAAAGCACTCTTGCGGTACACACACCAGTTTCAGCTAGGACCCTACACCAGGTTGAGGAGAAACTCGGCTGTGCTTATGGGTTTCTGCATAAAGTTAAAATGCAGAATAATGTGATGCCTGTAAGACAGAAATTACAGTGCTTACCATTTTCAGTCAGGGAAGCTGTTTCAGAGGAACTTAGAAAACTTGTTCAAGAGGACATTATTGAAGAGATTAACTCCTTGGAATGGGTTTCACCTATAGTAGTGACACAGCAGAAGGGTGGAGGCGCATCCGCCTTTGTGTGGACTTAGGGGAGCCAAATAAAGCTATTGTGATTGACACCCATCCTCTTCCTCACATAGAAGTATTTGCAGAACTCTGTGGAGCAAAGATGTTTTCTACTCTTGATTTGCAGAGCGAATCCCATCAGGTTATGTTGCATGAAGATAGCAGAGACCTCAAAGCATTTATTACACATGAGGGACTATTCCCTTTTAAACGTGTTCCACATGGTCTCGCATCAGCCCCAAGTGCCTTCCAAAAAATGTCATTGATTCTGAGGAATCAACATGGAGTTCAGTGCTATTTGGATGATATTACCGTGTTTGGAAATACTTCGGAGGAGCATGAAAATAAACTGCATCAGCAAAGCAGGCCTCAAGCTCAATAGGTCCAAATGCAAATTTAGACAAACTGAACTCTCCTTTCTGGGGCATACAATTTCACAGGCTGGACTAAAACCTGATCCAGCTCATATCCTGGCAATTTCAAATGCTCCTCCTCCAACAGATTTGCAAACCTTACGTCCCTTCTTGGGTCTTACCTCCTGATATGCAAAATTCATTCCCAATTATGCTTCTGTCATTGAACTGTTACAAGAATGACTACGGGGAAGTTCAACCTTACTGTGGACAATGGATGCACAAGCTAGTTTCAAAACGGTGAAAGACTTGACTGTACTTAGTCCAGTACTTGCACTATTCAGTCCTGCATTGCCCACAATTGTAACTACTGATACTTCTGATTATGGACTTGGGGCTGTTCTCACACAACTGCATGAGGACAACACAGAGGACTGTTGCATTTGCTTCAAGGACACTAAGTAATCCTGAGAGGAAATATTCTACAGTCAAAAAAGAAGCACTTGCTTGTGTCTGGGCAACTGAAAAATGGAGAACTTACCTGTGGGGCCGCATGTTCAAGTTGAGCACAGACCACAGCCCTTTGACGACGTTGCTCACCACAAAAGGACTGGGAAGAGCAGGAATCGTATTGCTAGATGGTCTGCAAAACTACTCTCTTTCAATAATGAACTGGAGTATAAGCCTGGAAACCAAAATGTGGTCACTGATTGCCTTTCTCACCTGCCTTTGCCTTCACCAGATGGCACACCGGAGGATGGGGATGTAGTGGTTGCGCTTATTACAAGCACTCTTACTGTAGTTATAAGAGAACAATTTCAAGCTGCTTGTTCACCATGTCCAATTCAACAAAAACTACGGGAATTTCTGACCAAGAGATGGCCCAGTCACCCTAAAAACCTTGACCCAGTTTTGCTGCCTTATTTTAGAGTTCGGGATGAGCTTTCTTTGCTCAATGGCTGTGTGCTACGAGGTTCACACCAGCTACTTGTGCCAGAAGAATTACAGTCAAAACTCATACACCTGGCACACGATACTCATCAAGGAATTTTCAGAAGCAAACGACGACTACGGGATCTGTATTGGTGGCCAGGGATGGACTCTCAAACTGAAGCACTCATAAAATCCTGTGTCACTTGCCAAATGTATGAAAAGACAGCAGTGACAAGTACCCCTCCATTACAGCCTGTTCCTCTTCCTGAATCTGCATGGGAAAAAGTGGTGATTGACATTTGTAGGACCCTTTGATATTGCTCCAATTGACTGTCATTATGCCATCACCGTAATAGATTATTTCAGTAAATGTCCTGAGGTCACATTTACATCGCAAATCTCTTCTGCTACAGTAATTAAGTTCCTCTCTCCAGTTTTTAGCAGGGAAGGTAACCCCAAAGAACTGGTTTCAGATAATGGTAGTCAATTTACTTCCCTGGAGTTTGAAACTTTTCTAGCAGAGAGGAACATTTTACACAGAAGGTCATCCCTATACTACCCTCAAGCCAATGGGGAAATCTAACTGTTTAACAGAAGTTTGAAAGAGTTTGCAAACGGCTAAACTGTAAGGGCGATTGTGGATACCCTTCACTACTGATTTCTTGCAAGCATACCGGGCTACACAACATGCCACAACGCAAAGATCACCCGCAAAGTTACTGCATGGGAAACTGATGAATACTAAACTGAACATTGCTGGATTGTTAAAGGCACGACCTGAGGCCCCAACCAAGGATGATGTAAGAAAAACAGTTTAACAGAACCAAGCAAAGTATAAGGCTTTCACAAACAAGTGGCGGGGTTCTAAGGAACCAAAGTTTGAGTGTGGTTCCTTCATTCAAATACGAAAACCTGGAATTTTACGCAAAGGGGACTGTAAATTCACAGCTCCTCTTAAAATCATAGAGAAGAAGGGACCTTACACCTATTGACTTTCTGATGGGTGGATATGGAATGCTTCTTACTTTGCACCTGTCTATGCACCAAGAGGAGATTATGCCAACACCCAGTCTGCATTGGATGACTTCACCGTAGTATCAACACAACAAGACATTGCACTGGAACTGGGGCTTGAGAGATGGCCTGTCAGACGCAGACGACCACCTGTCTGGGCTAGAGACTATGTTATGTAGTATCTATAGTGGTTTTAGTGTAATATTTCTGTCAACAGTATAGTGCCTTTTTTCCTATTTGTTCCTGTGGTTAGAACAACAATGTTTATTGTAATTGGGAGAGTTTCTTAAGAGAGGAGGGAATGTGGTGTTTAGATGTTGCTTGCAATTATTAGAATTGGGAGCACTGGCTGTTGGGAGTCTGAAAGGACAGGAAACAGGAAGGAGGGGGGAGGAGTTGAAGAGGCTGAGGGAGAGTTGCTGAGGGAGAGTTACTGAGGGTGCAGCAGCAGCTTGGAAAAGAGGTTTCCAGTTTAAAAAATAAAGTCCTGTTGAAGTTTTTTAGTACTTTGCCTGGATACTACAACAATAGTGTTTCATATTTGTTGAGAACTTTCTCTGGTTGCTTTGTAAGAGGCAGTCTGCGGAGCGAGGTCTGTAACTTCTGCATGTGCCTGGTCTGTGACTTTCCTTATTAACATCTAAACATGCTTTCATCTGTGTAGATTAGACCGATGCGTGACATGCTGGAGGTGAATACATTAAACATCCCATTT